AAAAAAAAAGAATAGTTGCGCCAGGCATTTTAGAGCACACTAAAATCCAACAGTCTCTCATTTTGCATGGGTGTCGATAAAGAATGTTTCTTCTTTATTTTCCTGCGAGCGTGCGTGTTTAATTCATTATATCCTTGAAACATATCCATATTGTCCACACGTCCCCAGCGCACGCATCAGAGTCCGTATATAGATTCAATCGAAAGAGAACCGAGAATTACGCATTAGGGCATCTCTCCTCGGTTTTCGTGACGGTATAGTAAGCAATGAGCGCCAGCGTTCTCTTCTCATTGGATCGTGTGCACCTCTCACTGCAGGATTTCATTGTACAAGTTGTTGTAAATTAAAAAAAAAAAAAAATAAATTATTTTAAAAATCCAGAAATGTATGTAAAAAAAGAGGGAAAAAAAAAATTAAAAAAAAAAGCCAAGGTATGGATCAGAAGATAAGATCGACAGGTACGTCGAGCTAAAAATTTGAGAGGATAATGATGAAAAATTAAAAAGGGAGAGAAGTGCACGCGAGAAAAGATGAGCTGTCTGTGTGGATTGTGTTGTTTGTTTGATGTATTATGAGTAAGTGAACGAGCGCGCGTAGATAGTAGTGATGGCGAGACGTTGGTGTTGGCGTCGCGGTGACGATAGATGAGAAACTGACCTAATAGCCGCAGGTTACGAGGTAGTCGCCCAATTTTTCGACAATGCTGGCGGCCTGCTGTGCTTGTACCGGCTCTTCGTAGAGTGACACGACGACCGCCTGCTGCGTTTTCACGCAGTGCACGCCGGTCTTGTCCTTTTTTGCCCTTATCACTTTGTTATCGATACATGACAGATAGAAATACTTTTTACCCGCCAGAGTCACCCCTTTTGACGTTATTGTCGTTTTTTCTGGCTTTTCGAAGTTGTCAACGATAAATTTGATCTCTTCTTTGCTCACCTGAAATAATACAAAAAGAAAATGTAAGGCACGTGCAGTATATTACTTTTCTATGCATTGTATTCGATATTTTATTGTACTATATATGGGTATAACAGGTTTTTTTGTGCGTGTGCTTGAACAAATAATTTTGACATGATTGATTAAAATTACAATAAATTGACAAATGGTAACATCGCATAAGCAATATATTATAATGAACATTTTCTTCTCTGTGCACAAATACGTTGAATTAGCTTGCAAATGAGTTTTATTGAGAAATTGCAGTAAAAAATACAACCGAAAAATTGTATTGCATACTTTTCAACGATATTTAGCACATTATCCATTTTGTAACACAACTCCTACTTTTACAAATAATGATATTGTCAGATTAGATTAGAATTTATCAGTTCCGTCTTGATAATAAATTAGACGACCTCGAAGACGACGAATCTTGGCTAATGGGCCGTGAAATAGATCGAGACACTTAGGGTTGTGTTGTCACAAGTCTACGTGTTAGATGAACTAAACCACGATTATCAACGATCTTTCGAAAGTACTGTACATTGTAGAGTTCAAATCATTCGAAGTGCAAAATAATCATTTCGCAAACAATCATTCCAAGCTACATGCATACGGAACGCCTTTAATTCCAGAAATTAACATTGGGTTATCAGTCAAAGAGCAAGCTATCAGTCTCTTCTTTTTTTTCCCCTCGGTACATAATCTCCAGCTGGTTGACATTTCAATTTACAACCACGTGACAGTAATATATAAATATACCTAAGCTCATGCACCGCATCGGACGATAATGCAATCGAGGACGCGAATGCATGACAGCGTTGCGGTTCAACGAAGCAACTAATATCGCGTACAATGCGAGGGGAAAAAAAAAACGAGACTAAAGGGAGAGCAAACTCTTGAGGTATAAGTGTATCGATTTACACCCATGCAATCACTCCCTACGAGGCCTATAATCCGTACAAGAGAGAACATTGGCGTTGAGCGAACCCGAGAGGAGGATATCGCGTTTAGTAGTGAGTCACTGCTATACAACTCGGGTCTCTTTTGGCGCGGGACAATGGCTCGTGATGTGCCTGTACTATAATACTTGTGCCGAGAGATTTAGTATGTGAGCGCGGATGAATCAGTCCTGCAGAGGAAGAAACGCGTCTTACATACTTGGTCGCGTCAAGTATGATGTAGGTATATTTACTAGGCGGACTGTGTACATTTGGCTCGAAAATCTTGACCGACAGTGCACACCGTGATTTAGCATTTTAAGATGGAACTTCAAGACCTGCCAACGAAAAACTGAGAGAGTTAATTACGTGAACTAACAGCCAATGAAGAGTTTTCATTTAGTTCGATTCATGGCTACTTTAATTTTTTTTTTTTTTTTTTTTTTTTTTTCGAGTACCATTGTACCAGTAGTAATAAAATAAAAATTCCAAAAAAGTACTGATGTATTACATTAAAAAATTTTATTTCAAAATGTTTGAAAATCTACAAAATACTTGTACCTAAGTGTGTAAGTGATGGTAGTTTTCAGAGTGCATTTACACCATCGGCGTAAAAATTTATTTAAAAAACGCGGCTCCCCTTGGAGAAGCGTATAAAATGTCAGTTTTACAAAACACCCATGTACTTGAGTTGTGTATCACGCCAAGTCCCAAGTAGGTACCAATCGTCATTCCCATTTCACAATTGCACTCTTGATACAGATCAAATTTTTTTTTTTTTTTCTGGTCACCAAGTTTAATATGCATATAAAAAAGGATTGTGCCATTTTCCTTCCAATTTATCGCAATCTCTTTGTTATTAGCTTACGTGCAAAAATGTTAGGTATTTTCAAAAAAGGCGTGTGTGAAAAAACATATACGCATTCGGAAAATATTTCGCCCATCCACGTTTATGGGTGCCCATTTTGGTCACTTTTGTCTTTAATTCTTTTACATGCGCGTACATGAGCCATATATTTATTAGACCTCGTAATACCTTATCGCAACTTTTCTGCAGCATCAATAGATACAGTAATAAATAGTACGAAAGACTGTTGTGTATATAAATATTATATAAATGTAACTCCAATACACTGAGCAGTCGATGCAGTTATCTACCTATATGGTATACATCAAACGACCCGGAGGATTAACAATATACAGTGGTCGCGAGATCGTACTATGTAGGCCATTGATGTATATTTTTGGTTCGTCGGATGGTGAAAAATCGGTTCGTGAAAAAATTTTCTCACCTCCCTTTTGTTTCATCAAAGTGTACTTTTCATTACAACTATTAGTATGCCATTATCGCTATTTACCTATAAGATTTTTGATAGTTTTGATCATCAGTGCTTTCCACTTTTGCACGACCGTACACTTTACCTCACAATGCATGTACACTTTGTTTGTATATATATTTGTCACTATAAGTACGAATGTGCGAGCTTATATACGAGCCGAGGATCGAAATGAAAGGAAGAGCACCGCGCCAAGGCAGGTAAGGAAAAACAATGTATGGGCTATACTGTTAGAGGTAGACGAGTGTATACGTGCACGCCGAGGTGTTGGATGGGGGAATAAAAGTGAGAGAAAAATAACTCGGAGGAGGGCGAGAACAAGCAACGATGGGTCGGGAAAAGGGGGTCCGAGGAAAAATCAAGCAAAAAGTGCCGAATAAGTGGATACTGGTGTTTTTGTTTTTTTGCTCAATTTTCAAAGGAGAAGAGTCTCAAGACATTTGTTTTTTAATTTGCAAAGTGTCAACCTCGGTATATTTGTTCTATTATTATTATTATTTTTTTTTTCCTCTCATGCGTCAATAGTGTGTGGTAGCAAAAATTGCTTTCTTCGTGCGTACGTGTGTTTTATCGTGTACGCCGCCGCTTTTGTTCTCCGGACTCGAGGAAAAAAGTGTCGCTTCTGTGAATGCACCCATCCTCCCCCTTCTCCTCTTCCGGTGGCAGCGTTGTGTATTTTTTTTATGTATTTTGTAAATCAACATTACTTCTTCGCACGCTATATAGAACCGATGATTTGTGCGCGCGCGAAAAGACAAAAAAAAAAAAAAAAAAAAAAAAACAGACATAGATACTTTTCTCCTCGCGAGTATAAACCTAAAGAGTTGAAGAGTAAAACGACGAAAGCTATGGTGGGGGATAGAATCATGCAGTGGTGAGAGCTACTCCAACACCTGGACGGTCAATGATGGTGTTTTTCTTCCGTAGTGGACCGCACACACAAAGAGGAGGGTGCATATATTATAATATCGGACGCTGCGTGTTAAGGACCGTCAACTCGACTAACGCAACTTAAAAAATTATGTCCACGCAGGCCCGGGCCTTTGTTGGCTTGCTCCGCGAAATCATCGTCTACCGCGTCGTTCGTTTGGTTTCTTGTTTGATTTGTCTGGGTCGTTGGTTTTTTATCGTTGCGCCGGGTCCCCAACTGCAACAAACAGAGAACACAACAATTCGTTAAAACACACATCGTACCGTTATTTTTACCAAAATTTATATCGTGTCTTAAAATGCTATCATGTCTAAAACGAGGTCACCCGAGTATGTGTATCTGACGCTGCATCATAATATATTACAGTCGTCCCGTTACCGCCAACACACGTGTCATCGGTATCCCTACGTAAGTACAACACTTATCTATACTTGTCGCGCACACGTCACGCGTCAACCATCCACCCCGAGTTATATATATATATGCTTCTTATTACCCATTCATTAGCATATTCATCTAGATGCCGTTTTTTTTTTTTTTTTTTCCTTTAGCGATGGACGTTTCATTTACCCGTCCAACCGAGGAAATTATCAAGGCCGATTTATGGCCATTGGTGCATCAATTGTCAGATATCATTGAATTCCAATGCTGAAAGACACTTAAACGGGTGCCAAAGGAAATTGTTCGACTCTTGGTACCTCACGGATGTAGTGCCGATTCGCGTGGTTAGCGCGAAATCGTAACTCAAATGAAAATAGGTAAATACACGAGTACTTGTGACTTGCATGTGCCAGGTAGATTCGACGACAGTAAGCGCAGGTATAGGTACTCTAAAAATTATGATCGAATGATCGTGTCGTTTGTAAACGAATAACACAATGTTCGCATCACCAGTTAAGAATGTTGTAGCGATGCACTTGTTTGTCCACTTGGCAATCATGAAACATCTCTACGCGTAATAATATACTTTTGTTTCCTATCAACACATGGCGCGTCAAGTGTACATTTAACATGATATAGTATGCGGATGCTTCATTTGTCTAGTTGACTGTTTTTTTTTTTTTTTTTTTTTTTTTTTTATAAGATAGCCACTTTATACATGCACATAATCATATTTAACGCACAAAAGAGAGAGAGAGAGAAGAGAAACGCACACCAGTTATGTATAAGAGCCTGCCGCACGTTGACTTTCTCTCTCGATTATTAATTTATTATCAAATTGCCACACACTCGATAAGTATATCGTCGGGTACATTTTTATTGATACGTCTTTCTCCGTAATACGTACGTCCGACGGGAATGAGCCGACGGACATCAACGCCAGCCGATATTATATACACATAATGTATCTTTGTTGCATTTTTTTGCAACGTCACGTGTGTATATATACACACACACACACACACGTCTCGTTATCAAACGGTGATGACTCACCGAGCCAACTGATAACTCAACTCCAAGCAAACCGCGTGAACCGGTCTCTCATTCTTTTTTTTCCAGCCTATACCATCACGAGGAAATTACATTCGTTCCAGCGCATCTATACATAGTGCCACAACGGTGAGACGGCGGCTCTCGAAAGCTCTCTCGGACCTGCCGCTGTGCACTAGTATACACTTTATCAAGTACTCGCAAACGCGATGAAGGTGCAATTTCCCGCGGCCTGGATTCTTCATCAAGCGAGCGTGTATATACAACCTAAAACCTATACAAACGAATGAGGTTGTCTGTATATAGGTTGGCAAGGCGTTTTCCAATAATGGCACGACGCCACGAAATTCTCTTCTT